CTCTTCAAACCTAAGGACACTTAACCTCAAATATCCTAAAACCCTTAACCGATTAGAAAAAAGGGTGCACTTTTATTCATAAGTCATTTCCCTCTATATTTAAACCCCATGGATTATCTCTCAAATCGTTCTCTTTGGTTGCTTACAATCTATCATGCTTTCCTACAAATTCATACCCTCGTGAATAAAAATTAAAAGCTACAACTTTCTCAAGAGCCCCGCTCTCTTAACACCCTTAGCCAACCAAGGGAATCGGACTTAAGACCTCTATGATACCAAATGTAAGTTCTTTGAATTTAGACTTTTTGGAAGATCATCTAGCCCAGTATTATTCAAACCCAAGGACATTTAACCCCAAATATCCTAAAACCCTTAACCGATTGGAAAAAAAGGTACACTCTTATTTATAAGCCCTTTTTCTCTATATTTGAACCCTATAGATCATCTCTCGAGTTGTTCTCTTTGGTTGTTTACAATATATTGATGATTGTGATAATGTATTTTAGAAATTGCATTATTTTCATCTAAGACCATCTAAATTAATTATGTAATTTGGTGTTTGCTTTTGAAGCCTCTTCCTTCATCCTGAGTAAATATGTTAAATCAAATCAAGTTAGGAAAGTTATGGTCAACACATGGTCAAAGTTGGCACTTAATAATATTTCCCCCCAATAAAGGCTTTGTTTCAAGGATGAAGGAGCCTCTCAATGGTGAAGAAAACACTCATTCATGCTTTGAAATCCAGCACAAAACATCTCTCTTATGTGAACTCCCCACCCGAGAAGAAGGGGGATATACCCTTTACATCCATGCCTCTAGAATATTCTAACAATAGAATATTATGCGACCATAAGGGAATGCTCTAGCTTCATCATGCACAATAACCTATAGCCAAAGTGCTAGTGTAGACTCCAATATAATGCCTTGTGTTGGCAACTGTTATGAGGAGAAGAGACTAAAGTAAAAAAAATAAAAGAAAAGATAAAGAAGAAAGAGTGTGGATTTTTGGAGTCAAGGGGAAACCAAGTTGGAAAACAGAAAGACATTTGAAATATTAGAGTAAAGAGGAGAAAATAAGAAAAATCAAAGATAGAAAGATGTAGAAGTAGAAATAAATTGCTACACATTGCATGTAACAATGTTTGGTTTGCTTAATAGTAATTTTATTGTTTGTAATTTATAAACACATGACTAATTTTATTTTATATCAACCATTAGATAATAGAATAAAAAATAGTATAATAGAAAAGGTTTAAGAAAGTTTAAAAATTATAAATACAAAATTAATCTAAATGAATAACAACTGTTGGTAGAATATCCTAGAATACCTAAGTATATTCTAGGAATATTCACTACTATCCTAGTCCCACCAATTCTTTTTTTGATGTGAGATGAAAATGAAGCATTCTGGAACTATGCTTCTCTCATGGAATGATTGAGTCCAAATTTCCACTGTGATAAAAAATGGTATGCACCCTACAAATTTCCTTAAGCAAACCAAAAAGGGATAAAAATGCACTAAAAGAGAAATTTTCAATAGTAGTCAATGCAGAAATGAAGAATGAAAAAGAAAATTCTATGCAAAAAAGGCTTGATAATAAATTATATCATGTTAAAAAATACTAAACCAAAATAAAATAACAAAAGATTCATACTGTTCAAATTTTTCAATACCAAACTAATACTTAAAAAAGGAAAATAAAAAAAACCTATCAATAATTTTATTACCAACAATAGTAAGACTAAAAAAGTTAGTGTTTTAAAACTTCTTTTCCTTCAAAAAGGGGATAAAAAAGAAATGATGGACAAACAAAGTGAAATTTTGCACTTAAACATAGCACAGCACTAGTGAAAATATAGTCTCTATTTTTCAATAACAATCCCAATTTTTGTATTAATCCCTAAGGACTATTGGGGATATGTTTCAATGAATAGAGTGAAACCAACCTTTTAGACAGTTTGACATCTTATATATAATATTAGATAAGAATAAAAGTAGTGAGTTAGAGTTAATAATGGTTTTGGAGGCTAGCCAGTAGAAAGATATAGAAATAAATTTTATATATGGTCATAAGTCTGAGTTAAGTATGGTCTTAAAGGGCTGATTAAAGGAAAGATATAGAGATAAACTTTCTTTTTTGTTTCCACAATATTTTATAAATTACAATTGCTCTCAAAACCCTTGTTTTGGTTTAAAGTTATAGATTCAGAGGTTGGTTTGTGTATTTAGTAATTATATATGGTTGTAGTTGATTGATTAAGATTCCATAATTCTAAATTTGTGCCTTATTTTTGTTATAGTTGTCAACAACTATATCTGTAGTTTTGTGGAAGCTTAAATTTTGTGGAAGTCTACAGTTCCTAACAAAAGCTCTAGATGTTTCACTTGACTTATCATCATCATCCTTTCTCATCTTTAAGATGGAAGGATGATGTAAAGTTTAAAATTTAAAAATTCATATGTACATACATATATATGTATATATATGTATGTATATGATTTGCTTACACAAACTTATATAATAGTGAATACACCTAGAATATTCTAGGATATTATACTACCTAATGGTTGCTATTTACTTAGATTAATTTTGTATTTATAATTTATAAAAAGAATTCTAAATGCTTCCTAAGATATTCTAGTTGATTCTGTAAAAATACAACTATATAATTTCTCAGAGAGTTTATTGTGAAATGTAATATATAATCATTAGTCAAATGTATACTTAAAATTCTTTATGTCACCAAACTTTGTTCTAACATATGATTATTGAAAAAAAATCTCTATTTCTACAAATGTATTTATATTGTATGTTGTTAATTGTAACATAATAAAAATAATTTTCTGCCCATTACATATAGCATGTTTGGTTTTTTTAATAGTCATCCATTCATTATTTATTAATTCACTTAGAAAATGGAAGTTTATAGTTAGAAAAGTGTTTATAATTTATAAATACAAGAATAATCTTATTACATATCAAGAATAAACAAGAATATATTAAAAAGTGTTTAGGAAATTTTATAAATTATAAACATGTTTATAGATTATATAGTGTACATGAATAATAACTTATTAGTAGAATATCCTTTTGTATGTTTAGGTTCAACAATAACTCTTGCAGATTAGTGAGAGACTAAGAATAACACTACTATTAAGCAAACTAAGTGTTGCTACATGCAACACGTAACAATTTATTTTACTATGTAATCTCTTACTTATTAATCCAATTGATCAAATAAATTTTATAATTATAAGCATGTTTGTAATTCATAAACACAAGATTAATCTTATTGCATATCAACCATTAGATAATTGAATAAAAATAATATATTAGAAAGGGTTTAAGAAAATTTATAAATTATAAACATGTTTGTAAATTATAAAAGATTAATCTAAATAAATAACAACAGCTAGATGGTAAAATATTCTAGAATATTCAAGAATATTCTAACTATATTCACTACCAAACAAGTTTGCTTAACCAAACCAAAAAGGAGAAACAGATACAAAAATTCTTCCAATCCCAGTTTGGAGATCAATGCAACAAAGTTATGAGAACGGTTCCCAGGTTTAAAGCATTAAAAGAAAACGAGCCCTACGGAGATCGGTGAATAAAGGAAGTTCTCATTGATCGTGAGTGTGCCAGGTTTTGCTGCCCGATTTTCGAAAAGAGAGAGGCTGCTCGAAGATGCCACTTTGGCAAATCAAGCATTCCTGGAGTAATAAAGTCTCTTACCTGTTTGAGAAGAGAGAGGCTCTCTCAGGACAAGATCTGCAGGCTAGCTTTGTTGTAGTGATCTCCAAACTTGAGCGGGCATGACACCCTCTTCCACTCGAACTTCCCAAGCTCCGGAGACAGAGAATCTCCACAAGCCTCGCCCCTCCACAGGCTAAAGCTCGCATGGCTCCCCTTGTCCACTTGCATCAAAACGTAGATCACGCCCCCGTGGTAAGCCAGCGCCACGATCGTGTGCGAGACAACCAGCCTGAGCTTGCGCTGGACGTTGATCTCGTCGAGCAGCCCAGTGTCCAAGTCGTGGAGCTCCAGGTAGCACTTCCTCGTCGCCACCAAGAACTTCCTCTCGGACACAAACGCCGGGGCCGTGCAGCTCCGGCTGATGTTGAGCGGCTTGATCTGGAAGAGGAACGCCAGCGTCCCGGCCACTCGGTTCCAGTCGGAGAAGCCTTCAAAGAGAGACTTGACATCGCCCTTCTGCGCCGCGAGGCCGGAGAAGCCGACCAACTGGACGCATATCGACTTGGCACACCGGTTGGCCAAGTCGTGCTTCTCCAGCACAAAGACCTCCGCCCGCTTCCCACTCAGGTAGAGCATCCCATCTTCCATAAACGCCACCGCCACCCCTCCATTGATCCTCGTCCTGGTGGTGAGCTTCTCCCACCTCCAAATCCCGGCTGGAAGATCTAGCTTGTAGATCTCCCCCTTGAAAATCCCGTATATGCACCGCTCGAAGCAAAAGCACTCCTCCACGCTCTCCTCGGGAGAGCGATCCGGCAGTGGAGGAAGCTCGTGCCAAGTCCCGGCCGAGTAGTCGAAGAGCTCGAAAAAACTCTGCTGCTGGAAGATCCCATCGCTGCCACTCCCGGCATTGAAGAGCAGCACCACGCCCCTGGGAAGATCCTGGAGCTCCCGGGACCGGGCGCCCAACTCAGCATTGAGCGATTCCATCGCGGCGCGCCAGAGCTTGGACACGGCCGTCATCACGGGGCGCTGGTACCAGGGCAGCCGCGGGAGGATTTGCTGGTAGACCACGTCGTGGATGAGCCCCGGGAGGAGATCCACACTGCTCTTCCGGCGCTTCGCCCTCTTTCTCTGCCGCTGCGCCATGGCGCTCTTCACCACCATGCGCATTTGCCGCTGATTTCTGGTGAAGAGGAGGCTAGATCCTGCCACTGACCTCGCGATCGCGCGCTCCCGCGTCCTCGTCATCGCTAGGAGCCCTAAAATAAATGTAGGGCTCTTGCTGGCACTTTAGGGTTCTTAGGCACTTTAACTTGCACTTATCTCTTACAGCGAAATGGAGAGCTTTCTTTAGCTTCCCTTCTTGACGAAGAGCTAGACGAAGAGATCCATCTTATTGGCACGAAGGAGCTTCACTTAAACCATCGCTTCTTGGGCTTCTTGCTAAGCTCCGCGTACTGCCCACCCATGAGCTTCAACACTTCCTCCCAGAGATTAGCAGCCGAGCCGGAGATGAAGAGATTCGTGCTACACGCCGCAACGCACCAGTATCCATCCTCCACTTCTCTCTCGAGCTGCCCGATCGCCCACCCGGCGTAGCCGAAGAAGAATCTAAAGTCCTCGGCGCCGGAGGCCTTGTCTTTGATCATACTCACTGCCTGATCCAGTCCCTCGGCCGAGCTGTAGAAGATCCCTGGAACTACTTCCTGGTAGCCTTTCCTGGCGCTGGCTCCTTGCAGCAGCAGGATCAAGTCCGAGACGAGCGGACCACCGAAGTGTACCTGGCTTTCTCCAAACGCCTCGGCGAGAGCTTGGTCCTGTGGCCGGATGTCTTTGAGGACGTGAGGGAGAGGCCGGTTGAGGATGAGGCCGAAGGGTCCCTCGTTGCCTTTGCTGGATCCGGCGCTGAGGAGGATGATCACTGTCCGCTCGAAGATGGAGAGCTCGTCGAGCTTGTCCGTGGCGATGAGCACGCAGCCGGCCTCGGGCTTGAGGATGGGATGAGCCCAGCGAGCCCCAAGAGACTTTGCGAAGTTCTCCGGAGCTTTGGAGGCGTCCGAGGTGCTGGGCTGGTCCTGCTCTTCGACGGATCGCTCGTTGGCGATCAGCCTCGCGCGGAATGCTCGCCAGTCTGTGCCCTGGGAGTCGGAGGAGTTCTCCGGGCCTTCCTTTTCTTCTTTCTCGTCGGAGGGATCGTTGGAATGGTTCTGTGCTGCTCGGACTACCAGAGAACCTGAGAGAAATTTTTAAATGTTTAGATCATGGAAGAAAGTTCTCCAAGAATGCAACGCTCAACGATAAACAAGTTTTTCATGACCAAGAAGAACAGAAAATTCCTTTTTCCGCTAGCCAAGAACACACAAAGAATACCAAGCAACACCACGGCTAACTTCACGAACACAACAAGAACCAAAAAAACGAGAGACTCGTACGAGAACTTACCAGAAAATGCGCGCCTCTTCTTGCTCCGCGAGAAAATCACAGCAGAGGTGAAATTCTCTCCAGGCTCAACGAACGACAAGAAATGGGGTTTGGAGAATCCCCTGCCCCTTCTCTCATCGATCGAAAACACGGTAGAACCGGAAGAGCTCACGGCGCGAGAGCTGCATTTTCTGTGCCCTAGAACCTGGCACCGCTGCCCCTTCCTGGGCCCAAAATCGAGCAGGCTGTGATTCAAGCACGGATTGAAGCCGCAGGAGGAGACTTCCATCGCGGATTTCGATAGCACCCGTGGCGGCCGGGCGCGGCAGCTTACGCCATGCGTTCCCTGTGCCAAAATTCCATTCCCTCGACTCGGGATACGGGAAATGGAAGAACCCTAACAACAAGAAAGATCGAACCCGGGACCTTGTCTAATCTCATTTTTGCATTAAAACTAAACAGGGATTAATCAAAACTTTGTGGAGACTTGAGAGAATAACGACTTGAAATCTCTAGTCGCAGTTCCTTCGCCTTCGGGCTTAGAGGCGAGATCGAAAGCTTTGTTCTTCGCTTCCTCGAATAGCAATGCCTGGAATTCGAGCTTAAATTCTTTGAGAACAAGATGGAACAAAAACGAAAACGATTTTTTGAGCGGAATTTTGACGAACCTGGATGCAAACTTCCGCCACATCCGATCTGGGAAGAGATTTAGTGTCAGTCTTCAAGAGCTCATCATTTCTCCCAACTAGAAGCTCTCGAACACCCCCTTCTTTGTCTAGCAATCCTCCAGCTCTGAAACAAAACAAAGAAGCTTGATACAGGATTGATTTTTCTTCATGAACTTTCACCTGATTATCGTGTAAGGAATGCCTGATTCTGAAAGATATTCCTCTGCCTTTCTCTTCCAGATCTACAAAAAGCTTTTTTGTAAAACTCTTGTTGAAGAAAAACATGTTTTTCCTTACCAGGATTTTCCCGTTTCCTAGAGAATTGAGAGGATGATTATCGTCAGTTCCTCCCATTGAGCCTACGAGAACAATCTGTTTTACTCCAGCACTCTTCGCTGCTCAAAATCATCAATGAAAACTTTGGAAAACTTTGAGTTTCGTGCTTACCAGTATCAATTTGCGTCTTTTGTCCAAGCCAATCCACCTGAGAGCAAGCATCAGAGTTTACTCCAGCAGTGAAAAAAGAAAAAGTAACAAAGAGTTACCTGCTCAGGAAAAGCACCATCCTCAAAGTAAAACTCGGGGCGACCACCTTTGCTCGGATCAAACCCGGGCTTTATCTTGGGCACGGCGCTGGTAAGAATAACCAGAGCATCGATCCCTCCAGCGAATGCATCGGACAAGCTCTCGGGCTTGGTAATATCCCCGATGAAAACATCGTCTCCACCATTGATCTTCTGCTTGCTCTCGACCGATCGAACGAGTCCACGAGCAGAAAACTCTTGTGTCCGCTGTTTCAACTTGTCAAAAACTAGCCTTCCTGTGAACAGCCGAGTGTGTAAGAAACTTCAACAAAAGCAGTGTGTAAGAAACTCCACTAAAGGCTTGTATATGAACTTATTCTATCTTGTTGAAACACATGGGAGCGTAAAGAACCGAAGGACAGTAAGAACTTTCAGAAAAGAGTGTAAGAGAATCCGTTAAGAATCTAGAACTTCCAGTAAAGAGTACAAGTACTTCACAAAAAACTTAAGACCTTCCTGGACGAAGAATGTGAAAGGACCGCAAAGAGCGTAAGAACTTAGAGAAAGAGAGAGCGCAAGAACTCCCGTGGGAAAACTTACACTAATTCTATAAGAACTTCGAAGAAAGAGTGTAAGAACCTCCACAAGGAGAGAGTGAAAGAACTTCCACTAACAGTAGTGGAAGACCTTGTGTAAGAACTTCCAGAGAGAGAGAGAGTGGAAGAACTTCCATAAGAACTCAAACCAGAGGAAAGAGCACAAAGAAGTTCCGCAAGAGTGTAAGAAACTCCTCAAGAACATTGAGAACTTCCTCTAAGTACCTGTTCTTCCTCCGGCCCCGGCGACTAACACCGTTGGAATCGGTGACACTGACGAAGTGACCACAATGCAGCTCCGCCCTCTGCCGGATTTTTTGCTGCGTGGTAAGCAAAGCCCGGGTCTCCATTTGTCGGCGGCGGCGATTGCTGCCGCCATAGCCGAAGAACTAAAACCAACTAAAACAACTTAAAGCCAAATGGACTTGTTCCATTCGCACCGCGATGGTTTTGATGTTCCAAGAGGTTTTGGTTGGCGCTATTTGCCTGTTTACGCGTGATGAGCACTAGATATGAGCTGTGACAACAATCTCTCGATCTTGTCGTGAGTTGCCATTGTCCTTTTGCTCGCCTATCACGCTCTTAGATTTCCAGGGACCGTCCAAAGTTGCCAAAAAGTTTCGGCTTCGACGAAGCATGATCAAGTGAAGCAATCTCGGGGCTGTGGCTCCGATGCTTCTCCAGGTCGATCGACGGTCCTCACCAAGTTCTCCACCAGTTTAAAACGCTGTTTACTTTGGGAAAGAAACTTCTAAAATGTTTACTCGAAGAACGCCATGGCCGAGAGAGGAGGATGGTTTGCAGCAGTCTTCGTTCTTGGTAAGCTCACGAAAAAACGATCCCTGAGTCTCTAACCGAGGAAAAGATTTCTATTTTCTCCACAGGCAGTGAAGTTGCCGAGAGAATGGCTTTCACGACCTTTGCGACGAGCTTCGTCTCGTATCTCATGGACGTGATGCACAAATCACCCCTGGAAGCGAGCACGATCATCACAGTGTTCTTTGGAGTTTGTGGAACCACGCCACTCCTTGGGGGCTTTCTCGCCGACGCTTACCTTGGCCGATACGCCACCATCGCCATCTTTTCGATCGTCCACCTCCTGGTAAGTTCAAGCTAGGTTCTCTGATCTCTCATTCCCTCTCTTGCAAAGATTTGATTTTTCTTTGTCTCTAGCAACTTTGCTATCAAAGCAACCTATAGTTCTTCGACTTCGCTGGTGCTAAATATTTGATTTTTCTGATAGTTCTTCGTCTCTAGCAACTTCGCTAGCAAAGATTTGATTTTTCTGATAATTTTTCGTCTCTAGCAACTAGCAAAGGTTTGATTTTTTCTGGTAGTTCTTCGTCTCGCCTGCAAACTTTGATTCTTGATCTCACCTATGGAACGATCATACTTCCAGGGACTCATTCTCTTGGCTGCTGGAGCCGTGGTAGCTCCACTCTCTCCAAGGATTTGCAAGCACGACGCTGAACAATGCCTAGACGAGAAGGCCACAGCTTTCCAGATGGGATACCTCTACGTCTCGCTGCTCATCGTCGCGATCGGCTTTGGGGGGATCAAATCCAACATCGTTGTCTTTGGAGCCGATCAATTCGACAGAGGCAACCCCAGCGACAAGAAGAACCTCGGCATGTTCTTCAGCTCCCTCTACATGACGCTCGACCTGGGATTCGTCCTCGCGCTCACGATCGTCGTCTACATCCAGGTCCAATTCGGCTGGAACTGGGGGCTCACCACCCTGGCCATCGCCATGGCCGCCGGGAACGCATTGTTCTTCGCTGGAACGCCCTTCTACAAGCAAAAGCGGCCGAGCGGGAGCCCAGTGACGAGGCTCCTCCAAGTGATCGTGTCCGCGTATCGAAAGAGGAAGCTGGAATTGCCGCAAGATGTGAATTTGCTCTACGAAGTTCCTGGAAGAATGTCCGCCATCCCGGGGAGTAGCAAGATCCAGCATACCGATGGACTAAGGCAAGGTTTTCATTCCCATCTCCTCCAAGATCTTTGCTTCTACCTCCTTGAAACTCTCAAAGATCTTTGCTTGCCAACTCTCTCAAATCTAAGATCTTTGCCACCTCTCTCATCTTTGCTAGTTGAAAGTCTTCTAGCTCCTTGAAACTCTGGCCTTTGCTTGCCAACTCTCTGAATCTAAGATCTTTGCCAACTCTCTCATCTTTGCTAGTTGAAAGTCTTTTAGCTCCTTGAAACTCTCAAAGATCGTAGGCCTTTGCTTCCCAACTTCTCTCAAATCTTTTCTATCTTCGCTACAAGTTCTATAAACTTCCATCTCCTTGAAACTCTTCAAAGATTTAACTTGTCCTCGTTCTTCCAGATTTCTCGACAAGGCCGCGGTGAAGATCGGCCTGGATCACGAAGTGGAGGGATCGTGGACGCTGTGCACGGTGACCCAAGTCGAGGAGCTCAAGGCGATGATCCGGCTCTTGCCAATCTGCGCCACCACGATGCTCCTCATGAGCACCGTCGTCGTGCTCCTCAACTATTCCACCGTCCAGGCCCTGATGATGGACAGAAGCCTCTCCAAATCCATCCAGGTCCCAGCTCCATCCGTCCCGTTTCTCTCCTCGGTGTTCGTCATGATCGCCATCCCCTTCTACGAGCTCGTCTACGTCCCAGCGATGCAAAAGCTCACTGGAAATCCTCGCGGAACCACGCATCTCCAGAGAATCGGGATTGGGCTCTTTCTGTCCACGCTCACCATGATCGTCGCCGGATTCGTGGAGCACAAGAGGGCGGAATCCAAGAGGGCGCGATTCTCCGCGTTCTTGCTCACGATCCAGTTCTCGATGTATGGTCTCGCGTCGATCTTCGGGACGATTGGATTGATCGAGCTCTTCTACAGCCAGGCACCGGAAGGGATGCGCTGCTTTGGAAGCTCGCTGCTGCCATTCACAGCCGCGATTGGGAGTTTCTTGGCGAGCGCGCTCAATTCCATCGTGGGATCGTCCACGAATTGGCTCCACCAGAGCTGGCAGTGGCATCTCGATTACTACTACTGGCTTCTCGCATGTCTCAATGCCGTGAACTTTGCGTTGTTCCTCGTGTGTGCGCGATTCTACACGTACAAGGAAGAGCAAGACAAAGAAAGAGATGGTGAAACGTGTTAGGGTTTTATGTGAGAATATTCAATGCAAGAGCGGAATTAGGTCACCGGTTTTTAGGGTTTATCTGCAGCGAGGATGAGGAGAATGGGGTTTCCGGCGGTGGTGCTGTGCGGGATTGTGGCGCTCGCCGTGACGCGCGCGGCGGATGGATCGTCGGCGCCTTCGTTTGTGAAGAGCACGATCGATAATCACGACATCGTGATTTTTTCCAAGTCTTATTGCCCGTAAGTTCTCAATTCTATGTCGATCGAGCTGTGGGGAGGGGTCTCTAACGCTTGTCCCTTGGAAATCTCAGCTATTGCCGGAGAGCTAAGTCGGTTTTCAAGAGCTTGAATGAAACTCCCCATGTTGTTGAGCTGGATCTAAGAGGTACTCGAAAAAATTCTTTTTTTTCTTTCGTACTGGATGTTCTCAGTGTTTTTTAATTGGTGTTCTTAGAGGATGGAGACGAGATCCAGGAAGCGTTGCAAGGCCTAGTGGGACGCCGCACTGTTCCACAAGTTTTCGTTGGTGGTAAACACATCGGTGGCTCTGATGGTACATTTTTTTCTCGTCGCCTCTAGGATGGTTGGCACGTAGAGTTCGTGCAAACTAGTTGCGTGCTTTTTTCCACTCACTGGCGTTTGTGCGTTGCAGACACTGTCGAAGCTCATGAGAGCGGACGCTTGGAGACGATCATAAATGGGATAAGAAAATCGGAGCTGCGATGATCCGGTAACTTCCCTCTCGCCATAATAAATCCCAGCAACGAACCATGATTCGCAGGCAAAGCAGCACGATTTCCAGTAGGGACAAAATAAGCTAAGCACTCATATATGTAGTTACAGACAGCTAGCGCATTTGTTTGGAGTCATTCGATGCCAGTTTGCTTCAAACCTCTGAAAAAAACTATTGTTATTCACATAACGTGCGCTCTTTGATCTGCACAGAACTTTTTCTTTTTTTGCTTCTTCACAGGCTAATGGTTTAGTTTGTTTTTCTCTTTTCTAACGAAAGAACAGGAAAACGTTCCAAGAAAGTTTACAAGTACCTGTGGAACTTATGCCCGTTTCAAGGTTGATCCATCCAGCGAGCACTTTGAATTCTCTATCGATGATCCAGGCTACTACCCCATCGGTGCTCTACGAGGTACGCCTTTTCTGCATCGAGCTTTCGCAGTGGAAATTGACTCGAACTTTTCAGGTGTGGTGGGCGAATCCTGGAATGCCTCACTGTTCTTCCTTTTGAAGCAGCCGGATCCATTCTCCTCCTCCTCGAGCAACAGCCGATTGCGGAGCTTTGGAAGCAGCAACTTGGTAGGCTGCTTCTTCCTGATCCCCTTCTTCTCTGTCCATTTCTTCCTCTTGGACAGCCTCTTCCTCTTCGCTGGTTTTTGCTGGGTCCCGAGCTCACCGTTTTGCTGCCATTGTTGTTGGTGTTGTTCCTGTTGTTGCAGATTGTGCTGCTGCTGCTCGCTGGTGGAAACCATTTCAGCTGACGAGAACTTCTGCTCCACTTCCTCGAGCGGCTGCTGCCGCTGCTCCTTTTCACCACCTCCAGCGACCTCCCCATCGGCCGGCAATGCAAACGTGATGGATCTGTCCTCCGGCTGCTCCCTCAGCACGTCCAGCTTACATGCAAGCGAGCAGAACTTGACGTCGTCCGAGAGAGCCCGGTTGCAGCACAGGCAGGCGTGGAGAGCTCCTTTGCTGGGACGGGGCTGTGGACGGCTGAGCAGGAATACGATCTTGGCGCTGTTGATGGAGTACGTCTGGATGTCCGAGACCTCGAGGCACTGCTGGATGTCCACGACCCGGATGGAGTCCATGTGTGAGGCCTTGCGGACTTGGAGAGTCCGGTGGCCCGAGTGCGAGGCGAGGAGGCCGAACTGGCAGAGGGGGCCGCTGCCGGAGCATTCGGTGCAGAACTGGTTGCGCTCGTTCTTGCCGCCGGTGTGGAAGTCGCAGCTGGTGAAGTAGTCGCCGGACAGGAACTCGTCCACCCAGGCCGGGCCTTCTCTGGGAACTTTGGAACGCATGCTGGATCTCGTCACTTTTCCGGATGCTGGATCGTTTTCCGGATGGATTCACATCCCAGGGACCAGGAGGAGTGACCAGGAGGAGTGAGTAGTGATCAAAGCGCTACTCGAAAGTTCTTCCGGGAGGGGTGATTGGAGGAATGAGGGAGACCAGCGAGCATTACAATACCGTGGTGGGATCTCTCGGTGGTGCTGCTGCTACTGCTGCTCCTCGTCCTGGAGATTTGATCGACACCACCACAATGGAAAAAGCTCCAGTCCATTTTCAAAAGAAGAGCAACCCAGCCCATCCAAATGCATGCAAAGAGTTAATCAGGGAAAGGAGGACTTATTGTCAATAATAAATATTAATAAACTTTTTAAAGTCTTAATAATAATAAATTTTAATTTTTTTGTAAAAGTTTGTTTGATGATAAAATAATAAGTATTACATGCAATTAAACTTATTAAACTTATTATTATTAATATTATTATTCATGCATGGTTAGACTCTCTTCCATATTTTTTTATGGTACTATAATCGGGTATGACACGGTCTAACGCTCTCACGACCTTCCTCGGAAGTTTCACAGTAGATTCTCTACTGGTTCTTCTTCTCTTTCCTTATTCCAGCGAGAGAACTTTGGTGATGGGAAGTTTGCCTTCGTAGACGCATTTGGGAACGTTGGCTTGCTGGATCACACGAGCAGCGCTTGGAGTGCCTCGCTTGGGACGAACATCCTGTGCGAAGAGAAATGAGAAAAAGGAAACTTTAGAAGAGAGCTCCAACCTGATCGAATATGGCTGTCGGGACGGCGAGAGTGGCTACAGCGTTTGGAGCATCCACGATTCCAGAGATGCGTCCTTCGCACGGGCAGCAGGAGAGAAGCAAATAGACCTGGTCGAACAAATTGTCACAAAGAAGTTCTAAAACCAACTTGATTTTACCTGTTCTTTAGAGTATCCAAAGTTTGAGAAGTAGTGTATCGCGTTGAGGACTGCTCGTTTGTAGGCAATGCTCGCGTCCAGAAAGTGTTGCTTGCCAGACTCATCCACGCTCACTCCCTCGAAAACTAGCCACTCTGAGAATCTTGGCTCCAGCGGGCCGATCTCAAACAAAGGATGGACGTGGAGCTTTGTCGGCCCGATTGGAGTCATATATCTTTCCATTCCTCCTCGAAGAATCTCACACCTGGAAAGTTTGGAAACATCAAAAGTTTGAAAAATGAAGTTTCGAGATTAACGGACCTTAGCTCGAGGAAGCCACTCATCTCGATTGCTCCGCAGAAAGAGACCTCGCCATCGCCTTGAGAGAAATGCATGTCTCCCATGCTTAAGTTTGCTCCTTCCACAAACACTGGGAAATAGACCTTGCAGCCCCTGCTCAGGTTTTTTATATCACAGTTGCCACCATTCTCTCTTCCCGGGATCGTTCTTGCAGCCTCATTTGCAATTGCTTGCCACTGGGAAGAGCCTGGAGGAATCTGTTACGAGAACGAAGCAAATCACAATATATAAAAGAGATCTAATTCAAACAGAACAAACCTTTCCAAGAAGAGCTCCTTTTGCTAGAGGCAAGTTCGCAAGTGGCCGAGTATGAAGTGAACTGCAGAGTGTCAAGCTCGGAGTTTCTTCTACGAGTAAGCGCTCACGGCTGTTCCAGATATCTAATAGTTCTTTCGACGGCGCGGTGCCAATAAGTCCCGGATGAATCAGTCCTGGAAAACGAACCCCTGTCGTCCAGAAAATGAGGAAGAAACACTAATTAGACAAACTTTCAGCTTTTTTTAACCTGGAATGTGTCGAGAGTATGCAAAAATGCCATCAAAGTGCCAGATTGCTTTGGTGGCGGAAGGAAAATGGTCTGTAAGAAATCCACCACCATTCTCTCGGTCGAAAGTTCCAGTGAATCCCCACTCGTCTCCTGGAAGTGGTCCAAGGTTGCATATCTCAACCACGAGAATGTCACCAGGGATTGCAGGCTTGCCAGCCTCGTCCATAACTCGGATCGGCCCACTCAGATAATGCACCTGGAAGACAAACAGAAAGATAAACAAACGACTAAAGCTTGAATGCTTACCCTGGACAAGTCGATGTTCTTCACATCTTCTGCAGAATCATTGTCTAGAATTTGGCCTCCAGTCCAATCTATTGTTTCTACTCTGAAGAGCTCCTCTACCGAAACCTGAGCAACTGGAGGAATGTCTGGATGCCATCTGTTGTGAAGAGGACTGTCTTGCTCCCATGGCTGCTTTGTTACATCCACCTTAACAACGCTCTTGGGTGTTCTAGGCGCCATGGTCCTAGAGGGAGAGAGAAAAAATAAAAACTTAGGAGCATCAGGTCACCGAGAAAAACAAAGTCAGCTTACCCGACAATGACTTGGAGCTTGGAAACTTGTAAATAACGACGTTTAAATCAAATCACTGTTCGAACCTGATAAACGTGGATATTAGAGAAGAAGTAAAACCATCATCATTACCTCAAAGTGCAGCCTTCCGTTTCCGAGGCTTGGCGATGGAAGTTGTAGAGAGAAGTGTAGATCGAATCACCAGTAATCTCGACAAGAGCACACTCCGTCCTTTACTTGGTGAAACCGGTTACCGTCCCTGACAAGGATGCTTCTTCCAGCGATCAGAGATATCAGCTTCGTTGCACTGTGGCAATCGGCACACACTCTCAAGTTCTTCATGATCGTCAGCGGGCTTCCGTTTGGAGTGCTGATTATCCCAAACGCAATGGCTAGCTTCTCGCTGTGGAACCGCACCCTCTGTTCCTTTTCCTCCTCATCAACGTCAAAGATCACCGCGCTGGTATCCGGCTTGTATCCATATCTTTTACGCATTTCACTCTCGAGCCTGTGAACTTCGGCGTAGATCTCTTCTTTCCGGGGATGATCGCTTCCACCACTAGCTGTAAACTCGTGCACCTTGCTCTTCACCACAATCCAGCTACAACCTGCTTCCTTCTTCAGTCCCTTTTCTTTGAGAGCTTTTCTCACTTTGCTTGCCAAGTCCCACAGTCCAGCAGCGGCGTATATATTCATCAGCAGCAAGTATGGAGATGGATTCTTGGAGTCGATCACGAAGAGTTTCTCGGCAGCTCTTGCTCCTCTCTCAACGTCTCTGTGAATTTTACACGCCGCGAGTAAAGTCCGGTAAGCTAAAACATGCCCCGTAGATGGTATTTTCTCGATCAAAAGCTCTGCTTCTTCCAGCCTCCCTGCTCGTCCCAGCAAATCCATCACGCACTCGTGGTGGCTGTGAGAGGGCGGGACTCCATAGTCGGCTTTCATCGAAGAAAAATACTGCTTTCCAGTGCCGAGAAAACCGCCATGACTGCAAGCGTAGAGCAAGCTGATAAAACTGATCCCATCCGGCTTAACACCCTCGAGCTCCATCGTCTGGAACATTACCACCGCTCCTTCGTAGTACCCGTTTTGAGCGTTGGCCGACACGATTGCTGTCCAAGTATACGAGTTTCTAGAACTCATGCCGTCAAAAACCTGTTTTGCGGATTCTACACTCCCACATTTCCCGTACATGTTGACGAGAGCAGTCGAAACTTTGAGCCTGGTTTCAAAGCCGGTCTGGAGAATGTTTGCGTGAATGACTCTTCCTTCGGCTATAGATGTCAATCCTGGAAGGCCACAAAATCTAAAAATCAGTATTAGGACAGGGTTCCAAGACCAGGTTTCACAACAAGCAACACGAATACAAAGAAGCGGCCAGAAACAAGCAAGAAGAAAGAATAAAAACTAAAAGAGACCAACAATGATGCGCAGCAGCCACAAACTCTTAAATCATTATCAGGACAATACCAGATCAGCTTTCACAACAAGCACAAAGAAGCGCCAGAAACAAGCAAAGAATGAAAACTAAAAGAAGGAAAGAAAGACCAACAATGAGGTAGCAAAGTTTCATACCTGCGCAAGCATCTAGAGCGCTGA